TCAAACAAACTTTGTAGACACTCACAAAAAGATGTTTCATGCTTAATATCTTAACTCTAGCTATTTGGGTTTTTTCAAAGAAGATTTTTTAAGTTTTTGCTATACACATATAAGGAAAATCAATGACCCAAAGGGCCGTGCCAATTTTGACCCAAGGCCTTGGATTTGAACAAACTTGGTAGACACTTATTAGAACATGTTTCATGCTAAATATCTTATCTCTAACTCTTTTGGTTCTTTAAAAGAAGATTTTTTAAGTTTTTACTATATGCATATAGGGAAAATCAATGACCCCCTGGGGCGGTGCCAATTTTGACCCCAGGGCTTTTATTTGAACAAACTTGGTAGACACCTATTAGAACATGTTTGATGCTCAATATCTTAACCATAGCTCTTTGAGTTCTTTAAAAGAAGATTTTTTAAGTTTTTACTATATGCATAAAGGGAAAATCAATGACCCCCCGGGGCGGGGCCAATTTTGACCCCAGGGCTTTTATTTGAACAAACTTGGTAGACACCCATTAGAACATGTTTCATGCTAAATGTCTTAGCTCTAGCTCTTTGGGTTCTTTAAAAGAAGATTTTTTAAGTTTTTACTATATGCATATAGGGAAAATCAATGACCCCCCCAGGGCGGGGCCAATTTTGACCCTAGGGCTTTTATTTGAACAAACTTGGTAGACACTCACTAGAAGATGTTTCATGCCAAATATCTAAGCTCTAGCCCTTATGATTTTTAAAAGAAGATATTTAAACTTTTTTCTTTCGGTTGCCATGGCAACCAGAGTTCTGCATGGAATTAAATTCTTTGAACAATTTTAAAGGTGACCACCAAAGGAACATTCCTGTGAAGTTTGGATGAATTGGCTTAGTGGTTTATGAGGAGATGTCATTTAAAGAAAAAGTTTACGGACGACAGACGGACGGATGGACGCCTAACGAAAAGCGATCACAAAAGCTCACCCTGTCACTTTGTGACAGGTGAGCTAAAAAGTATGATACATGATAAAAACTCAACTGCGGTTGGCTCTAACTACTGATCTCTCGAAAAAATTTGAACTGTCCCTCCAGGTTCCAGATTAATCTAGAATGGGAATTCAGTTATTGTGCATGGGCATTCAAACTAGAATTCCCCAGGTGTTGCTTGTAAGTGTCGCAAGTTCTCTAATGTAACTTAAAACAACAGACAAAACTTTAAAACATATTAATCGCTGTATTATTGTAAATGCTGTTTTACATAGAAAACAAATGTTTCTCTGATTGATGCAGTAACATAGATGCTTAACTGAGAAAAAAAAGACCGTATGCCTGGATGATAAGGGCCAGAAAACTGCTAGGAGCCGGAAACTGCTAGTAAACCAGTACATAAATCCTTTTTCCAGTCTACGAAATCAGCGTCAAACAAAACATATACTTTGAAAAAGAAACGGGGGTAAGAAATAATATCTTTTGAACTAAAATTCACTCAAAACCAACATTATTTATCCAATTTTTGCGCAAAGGATGAGCGTACTACATTCCATAATGATTGACAATAAAAACAAGAGGGCCATGATGGCCCTGAGGTCGCTCACCTGTATATAGCACCCCCCCCCCCCCCCCCGGGCAAATTTTTACCCAAGGGCTTTTATTTGAACAGACTTGGTAGACACCCATAAGAAGATGTTTCATGCTAAACATCTAAGTTCTAGCTCATTGGGTTTTTTAAAAGAAGATTTTTTAAGTTTTTACTATACACATATAGTTAAAAACAATGACACCCCTGGGGCAGGGCCAGTTTTGACCCCTGGGCTTTTATTTGAACAAACTTTGTAGATATTTACTTAAAAATGTTTCATGTATAATATCTAAACTCAAGCTATTTGGGTTTTTTCAAAGAAGATTTTTAAGTTTTTGCTATACACATATAAGGAAAATCAATGACCCCCGGGGCGGGCCAGTTTTGACCCCAGGGCTTTTATTTGAACATACTTGGTAGACACCCATTAGAACATGTTTCATGCTAAATATCTTAGCTCTAGCTCTTTGAGTTCTTTAAAAGAAGATTTTTTAAGTTTTTACTATATGCATATAGGGAAAATCAATGACCCCCTGGGGCGGGGCCAATTTTGACCCAAGGGCTTTTATTTGAACAAACTTGGTAGACACTCATTAGAAGATGTTTCATGCTAAATATCTTACCTCTAGCTCTTTGGCTTCTTAAAAAGAAGATTTTTTAAGTTTTTACTATATGCATATAGGGAAAATCTATGACCCCCTGTGACGGGGCCAATTTTGACCCCAGGGCTTTTATTTGAACAAACTTGGTAGACATTCACTTGCTGATGTTTCATGCCAAATATCTAAGCTCTAGCTCTTACGGTTCTTTAAAAGAAGATTTTTTAAGTTTTTACTATATGTTTATTGGGAAAATCAATGACACCCCGGGGCGGGGCCAATTTTGACCCCAGGGCTTTTATTTGAACAAACTTGGTAGACATTCACTAGAAGATATTTCATGTCAAATATCTAAGCTCTAGCTCTTTGGGTTCTTTAAAAGAAGATTTTTTAAGTTTTTACTATATGCATATAGGGAAAATCAATGACCCCCTGGGGCGGGGCCAATATTGACCCCAGGGCTTTTATTTGAACAAACTTGGTAGACATTCACTAGAAGATGTTTCATGCCAAATATCTTAGCTCTAGCTTTTACAGTTCTTTAAAAGAAGATTTTTTAAGTTTTTACCTTATGCATATAGGGAAAATCAATGACCCCCCGGGCCGGGGCCAATTTTGACCCCAGGGCTTTTATTTGAACAAACTTGGTAAACACTCACTAGAAGATGTTTCATGCCAAATATCTTAGCTCTAGCTATTTGGGTTCTTTAAAAGAAGATTTTTTAAGTTTTTACTATATGCATATAGGGAAAATCAATGACCCCCTGGGGCGGGGCCAATTTTGACCCTAGGGCTTTTATTTGAACAAACTTGGTAGACACTCATTAAAAGATGTTTCATGCCAAATATCTAAGCTCTAGCTCTTACGGTTCTTTAAAAGAAGATATTTAAAGATTTTTCTTTCGGTTGCCATGGCAACCAGAGTTCTGCATGAAATGGAATTCTTTGAACAATCTTGATAGAGCTTCATACAAAGAGTATTCCTGCCAAGTTTCATTAACATTGGCCTTGCGGTATCATAGAAGATGTCCTTAGAATATTTAAAATGTGGACGGACGACTGACGACGGACGCCATTTGGTTGGCCATCCTAAAAGCTCACCTGCACTTTGTGCAAGGTGAGCTAAAAATAAAGAAATTCATTTTAAACCCAGGATAAAACATGCCAATTTTCACTCCTGGGTCATTGTTTATCTTACTTTTATATGGGTCCACTGAGCAATGCTACACACCAATTATCTAGACCCCAAGCATTTTAGTTTCATATAAAATACTTAAATATAGCCTATATAAATCAAGTGACCCCGGTTTTGATCTGAGGAAGTCTGCACTGAGATATGAAAACGTGTGTGCAAAAAAGTGAAAAAATAAAAGAAAACAACTATTTACATCTATAGCATCCCTCACATTATTTATGCAAAATTACATCCAACAAACAACTTAACAAGATACTTTCTGGCCTGAGATTAATGCCATCAGAAATAGTTTTTTTTATTAACAAAATTAAAAAAAACCCAAAGTACAAGGAGGCCATTGGTCCAAAAGCGCTCACCTTATGGCAGAATGGTATAACATTCTCTATATACACACAAGTAGTTATGACATAGACGAGGTTTTAGTGGTCAAGGCCCAAGTGAACTTGACCCCTTACACCGACTGACCTCAAAAACAATAGGATTAATCTACTAGTCAAGACTAACTTTCACATCAAATCTTAAGACAATAGACCCTTGTTGTTTAAGAAGAGAAATGTTTACTATATACATAGAGGGAAAACCCATGACCCCCTAGGTCTGGGCTTATTTTGAACCCAGAAAAACATAGTAGAGGTTAACTTGACAATGTGTCCTGTAAAATATTTAAGATTTAGTTTTGGCTTTAATGTATACAAGTCCTATAAAGAAAGCAAATGTTCCTGGGAAGAGCTATTTTGACCCATGGGCCATAACCACCAACCTTGGTTTAGCACAAGATGTTTCATGTAGTGGTGGCATGGCCAAGTGGTTAATGCGCAGGACTAGTAATTCAAGAAATGTTAGTGTGTGGATTAAAACCCCGCCAGGGGCAAGCCATTGTTTCCTTGAGCAAAAAACTTTACAATATTTGCTCAATACTGGTTGGTTCCAGGAAATGATTCTGAAGTGTGTCTATAAGCTTATAGCTTCCTACACAATCAAACTAGAATAAATTTTGTATAAGGTAAGGTTTTTCCCCAAAGACAGGGCAAAAGTTGCCGTTCAAGATATAATTTTAGAAACTTTAAGAGATGTTATATACCTCAAACTAAAGCTCTAAGCCTAATAAGATATTTTCAAAATTCTTTTTTGTCCCTATGACCTACTTATGCAACCAACTGGTACCATTTGAAAAAAATGTTGATAGGGGACCACCAAAGGATCATTCTTCTTTTGTTTGGTTTATGCCCAGTCATTTGTTTCTGAGATGTAAAGAAATTGTTGACAACAAATGGCTGACAAAGGGGGAACACAATAGCTTACTATGAGCACAATGAGGTTAGGTGAACTAACAAGAAGGCAATGATGGTCCTTAATAGCTCACCAGAGGATATGGTCTACATAAACAAGATTTCATTACCAGGGAATTCCTTGTTCAACAGATCGGAATTAATTTTTTGTAATTTTTATGAATGAACTTTTGTAAGAACAATCAAGTTTTTTCTCTCTATTTTTAGCTCTAGCAGCCATATTGTTTAACAAACCAGAGCAATTTTAGTAAATAACCACATTGTTGAGCTTATTATTGAAATACATATTAAAAACAAAACAAAAACAAAAAATAAACCCAACTCCCCCCCCCCTTCAAAAAAACAACAAAAAAACAATATCAAACAAACTAAAATTGAACTGAAAAATAAAGTTTACAATAATTATGCTTGAAATAGTTATCTCTAATAAAAATGTACCAGCAAGATACAAGTTTCTTTTGGTATCATACTAATGACAATGTACTTTTAAAATCTTCTATCACCAATACACAGGTCATTCATCCTTTCCACACCTTTATTCCATCCCTCTGTGTTGCTTCTCCTTATTGCAGCTTTCAGAATATTATTCTCCTTCTCACCACCAACTGCTTTTCTAGGCTCATACTTGTAAGAATTACCAAAGGAAGATTCCTTCATTGGCTGAACAGGTGTTTGGTCTGTCTGATGGTAGAATTTAGGTTCCTGTAGACCTTGGAAAACAAAGTCAGTTTGTACTTCAGTGTTCACTAGATTTTTTTCAGGCTTTTGAACATTACACTGGGGCATCTGAGCTATACCTTGCCCAGATAAAGGCATCCTACTCTTGTCCGGCACCGAGGCTTGCCCAGACAAAGGCATCCTACAGTTGCCAGGCACTTGGGCTAACCCTGGCAAAGGCATTCTACTGTTGTCAGACGCTTGCACTTGCCGTAACTGAGGCATCCTGTAGTTACCAGAACTTGTATCTTGCATTGAAAAAGGCATTCCAATGTTCCTAATAGCTGTTAATCGTGAGGACAAAGGCATGCACTTGTTTGTGAAACCCAAAACTTGTCCTGAGAATCGCATTCTATGGTTGTCAATAGCTGAACTTTGCTTTAAACAAGGCATTCTACAGCTGTCAGCAACTTTAGTTTGCCCTGACAAAGGTATCCTATCATGATCTACAACAGAACCTGGACCACTTGAATTATTCATATCACTTTTCATTAAATTAAAGCCAATCAAAGTGTTACTACTCATAGTGTCACATGTTGATTTGGTTTCACTCGCTTTGGACTCTGAACTCTTCAAGCTGTCAAATGTCAACTGTGTTTTGACGCGCCTTAAGTCTTGAAATTTTTCATCAGTATGTTGTTCTTGAACACCGTGCGTTTCCTTTTCAGCATTACCCGTATTTCTATTATTTGACATTGTGAAAGAATTGTGAAAAACATTTTTGCTTTGTTCACCTTCAGGACTGGTACCAATACTAACATGCCTTGTGTCGTTCTCATCTTTACTGTATCTCCTCTGTCTGAGGTGTGCCAATTCAGTGATTATCTCGTCGGAATCATGTTTTACCGGGGTTTTAGAAGTTTTAATTTCCAGCAGGGAGTCTGTTCTGCATTTTGGGCACACTACTGAGTCCATGAGATGAATTTCATTGGGGTGCATGCTGCACTGACGTCTCTGCCGGCCGACAAATATGTACCCACAGGAGCGACACAGGATATCTTGGAGTTGCCGATTGCAGATACACAAGTCAAAATAGTTAGACTTGGTGTCTTCCTGAAAAGAGAGAAAAAAATTTGATATAACCATGAAATGATAGTGATAACAGTTTCAAGGAAATACCTTTTAAAATACTTGACTGAAATTCAGACTTCAAACCATGTGTTTGGAAATATCCCAATATCTTGGTTCTATCATGATACAGTATCATGATACTTAACATTTAGACAATATAAATGCAGTTTATAATTGTTCAAGTATTTCTCAGTGCAATACGATCACTTATTTAAATGGCTTCAAATATGTCAATGAAGTTGTCCTACTTTTTATGATCTGTCATATCTATTTACGAAGCTAGGTCTTTTTATATTTTTTTTTAACTTTACAATTACAGCCAATTACCGTTAATCTGCTGATTAAAACGTGTGTCAACATCAACAAAGTTTAATACATGCTGTAAGGCAAAAGTTCACTCTATATATCTTTCTCATTATGTATTCATGCGAGTGACGAATCAGAACACTCGTTGTATCTACAGCAGTTCGCATTGACCAATGAATGGGTGACACACCAACATGTTGCGGCTATTAATTGATAATAACACAAATGGTGTCTGACAAAATCAATTTTCGCCGATTCCATGATTAAAGTCACTGGCATATACATAATTGTTGCCAATTGTTGCGGTGTTCTGGCGAGTAAATGTAAGACAATATGCCCAACATCTTAAAGGTGTAAATATAAGCAAAAACTTGATTGTTAAAAAGCATAGGGGCACAAATCTGTAGAAATTATGTAAAGATTTGTATCTATTATTTTATTAAGACTTTGAACTCAGTTAGCGTATTTTATTACACCTGTTAAAATCGATTAATTCTTGTGAGTTATAAAGTTTTTATTTGTATCAAGTTGACCTCTGGTTATATCAACTTATCTTGTTGGTTTTAGACTTCTGATTGGACTGATTTAAATTTGTAAATTAAATGTTATTATTAAAATTCCTGGCTTGGGGTTTTCTTTGTTAAAAATTAAAGTTAACATGCTGACAAGTGACATAGATTATACATAGATTATACAAAATTAAATGTCTCCAACATCCTTGCTTGTGGGCAAATCACCCAATCCTTCATCTAACGAAATTTACATCACTACATGTATATATGTAAATATTATGTTTGATATTGGTATACATTTGTGGGAAGTAGATATAATAGAATTGTTTTATTTAATAAGGTGTATTTAATTCTTGGTTTGTAAAGTTTCTCAGCGTATAATCCCCCCCCCCCAATCAAAAAACAAGAGGGCCATGATGGCCCTAGATCGCTCACCTGACTTATCAAACTCATCTAAACAATTACCTAGACAAGCATTCTGACCAAGTCGCATGACAGGTGAGTCAAAAATGTGACCACTACAGTGTTAGCAAGGATTATACATATTTGAGCAGTGCGACCTAGTTTTTTACCCAGGTGACACATATTCAAACTTGACCTAGAAATCATCAAAACAAACTTTCAGACCAATTTCCAGGATACTTGGATCAAAACAGTAGCAACTAGAGTGTTAACAAGATTTTTCTATTTTTAGCTCCGGTGACCTAGTTTCACATGCGATTTCGAACTCATCCAAGCAATTACCTAGACAAGCATCCTGACCAAGTTTGATGATAATTGAGTCGAAAATGTGACCACTAGAATGTTAACAAGGTTTTTTCCATATTTGGCGGTGTGACCTAGTTTTTCATCCAAGATGACCCATGTTCGATCTTGACTTAGAAATCATCAAAACAAACTTTCAGACCAATTAACAGAATATTTGGATCACAACAGTAGCCACTAGAGTGTTAACAAGATTTTTTCTATTTTTAGCTCCTGTGACCTAGTTTTTCATCCGAGATGTCCCATGTTCGATTTATTCCCAGCAATGACCTAGACAAGTTTCCTGACCAAGTTTGATGACAATTGAGTCAAAATTGTGACCACTAGAGTGTTAACAAGGTTTTTCTATTTTTAGCTCCAGTGACCTACTTTTTCATTCGATATGACCCATGTTCAAACTCATCCGAGCTATCACCTAAACAAGCATCTTGATCAAGTTTGATGATGATTGATGCAAAAATGTGACCGCTAGAGTGTTAACAAGGTTTTTCTATTTTTAGCTCCGGTGACCTTCTTTTTCATCCGAGATGACCCATGTTCAAACTCATTTGAGCTATCACCTAGACAAACATCATGACCAAGTTTGATGATGATTGAGGCAAAATTGTGACCTCTAGAGTGTTAACATGGTTTTTCTATTTTTAGCTCCGGTGACCTAGTTTTTCATCCGAGATGACCCATGTTCGAACTCATCCGAGCTTTCACCTAGACAAGCGTCTTGACCAAGTTTGATGATGATTGATGCAAAAATGTGACCGCTAGAGTGTTAACAAGGTTTTTCTATTTTTAGCTCCGGTGACCTACTATTTCATCCGAGATGACCCATGTTCGAACTCATCCGAGCTATCAACTAGATAAGCATCCTGACCAAGTTTGATGATGATTGATGCAAAAATGTGACCGCTAGAGTGTTAACAAGGTTTTTCTATTTTTAGCTCCAGTGACCTACTTTTTCATCCGAGATGACCCATGTTCGAACTCATCCGAGCTATCACCTAGACAAGCATCTTGACCAAGTTTGATGATGATTGATGCAAAAATGTGACCGCTAGAGTGTTAACAAGGTTTTTCTATTTTTAGCTCTGGTGACCTACTTTTTCATCCGAGATGACCCATGTTCGAACTCATTCGAGCTATCAACTAGTTAAGCATCCTGACCAAGTTTGATGATGATTGATGCAAAAATGTGACCGCTAGAGTGTTAACAAGGTTTTTCTATTTTTAGCTCCGGTGACCTACTTTTTCATCCGAGATGACCCATGTTCAAACTCATTTGAGCTATCACCTAGACAAACATCCTGACCAAGTTTGATGATGATTGAGGCAAAATTGTGACCTCTAGAGTGTTAACAAGGTTTTTCTATTTTTAGCTCTTGTGACCTAGTTTCTCATCCGAGATGACCCATGTTTGAACTCATCCGAGCTATCAACTAGATAAGCAGCCTGACCAAGTTTGATGATGATTGAGGCAAAAATGCGACCGCTAGAGTGTTAACAACTAAATGTGAACGGACGGACGACGGACAATCATCGATCCTAAAAGCTCACCCTGAGCATGCTCAGGTGAGCTAAAAAGACACAAAACATGGTTCCAGATGACGCTTAATATGTCCCCCAACTTCTCCCTAAAGTCTCCTCACTTCTCCCTAAATCTCCCTAAACTTTTGACCAAGCTCAAGTCCTGTAATCAATATGCAATTACAAGTTTCTGGAACTACAGTACAGTTAACACCAGAAAAATACAAAAATGACTACAAGATACATCAACACTGTATTAAATTATACTGCACTGCGATGCCAAAATCACAATTCATTGATAAATTCATAATAATGCCAATTCAGACCAACTCTATTTGAAAGCCTATCATGTAAAAATACCATTTTCAACAAATATAGAATAGCTAGTATCATATTTGATTTTACTACTAAATTCTGTCTGAAATTAAGCACTTTAAAATTTAGGAATTGGGCGGCAGAGCCCCCATTTTTCAAAGGGCTCAAAGGACATACCCCTCTGGAATTTTTTTTTAAAACCCTTAAAATGTAAATCGTGACATCTGGTGCCTTTATTAAAGGCACACTAAGCCTAAAATTAAATATTTCTTTCTTTCTTTAAAATGGAAAAAATATACGTTTAATAATGTTGAAATAATGGTTTTAGAACATCTAGAAATGCTTACCACCTGAAGAAAATAGTTTTGAATAAGAAATAAAAGCAAAATGTAAACAAACTTTATTATCATATAAGTTTTATTATCATACAATATACTAAACAAGAGGGCCATGATTGGCTTTATAATGCTCATCTGATTATGCATTCAGACGATCCATATTCAAACTTGATCTAGAAATCACCACAGACACTTGGGGTTTGGAGCTCAAAACGCCTTTGAAATCCAAATAAAATGCATATTTGTCAATCCCAGCACATGTACTGATCATATATATCAAAAAAACTTAATATATAAGCCGTTTTGAAAAAAATTCATATTTCAACATCTATAATAATACACAAGATAAAAATGTTCGCCGGAAAAATCCGCACCCCTACCGTCATAATCACCATGTATTTTATTCCATTTCCAATATTTTCACATAATCCTTTGGTCCATCGACACAGAAGATAAAATCTTCACGATGATGGTCAATTTTAAACTTCAACGGTAATATAAACAATGCAACAGCCGAAATAAACATCAAGATTATCGCCGTTCTTCTCCATTGACAAAATCTTTCGATAAATTCAAACGTGGCCCCAGCTTTGCCGTGTGCAAGATGCGCAGCGCTTTTAAGTTTGGGAACCAAATAATCGGATGGCTTCGTTCATAGCCGACTGTTTGAATTTATCGAACATTTTTATCTTGTGTATAATTATAGATGTTGAAATATGATTTTTTTTCAAAACGGCTTATATTAAGTTTTTTTGATATATATGATCAGTACATGTGCTGGGATTGACAAATATGCATTTTATTTGGATTTTAGGCCACTTCTTTTATATTTCTTGGTTTACAAAACCGGCGACCCGAAATATTTGTAAATTGGAAAAAAAAATAAAACTGAAATTTCCACTTTTTTTCCCCCCGATGCAAAAAAAATTATCCGATAAGCGCGATAAATATGAGTACGAAAATTCAAATATTTTTGAGTACGAATCTATATAACACAACATTCGGACTACCTCGGATAACTACCACAGTTCATGGTAAAACAACAATGGCGGCGCCTTGAGCGGCACTGTTTATTTCCAAGTTGATTTTGTTGGAATTAAAGATTTGCCAACCAGACGGGCTTTTTTAAAGGCTGCCGTTGATGAGGACATCGGCACGGCTATAAGACGTATCCTTCCTCGAGAAGATTTAATGGTTTGATTTACGATATATTTGCTAGTATATTGTT